AGAATTATAAAGATATTGAAAGTTCTTAGCTGCAACAAAATAAAACCCAGAAGTAGATTCATTTTGCCGGGCTTCCCTTTGAAAGAAATACACTGTGCATCTGTTTTTTCTTAAAGAGAGATCATTCAGATATCAGTACATCTCTCCTGACATATTTTTTGTCATTGGTCACGTTCTGGTGTACCTAAACCAGCAAGCAGTTTCAGAGACACCTGCACATTCACCAGGACATGCTCAGTGGAGCAGGTGTTGTACATCACACTGAAATTGTGGCCATGAGAGCTCACTTCAGATGTGATCACTTCTAAGTCCACACTGACCTGTGAACTGGCTACTTTATGTAAGGAAAAGGAGACCACCCTCCAAGTTTTTCTTTCCTCCAAAGCTGGCAGCATTTAAGCAGCCATTTCCTCAGCTTTGTGATGCAGGGACTGGCCTGGTTGTTCTGCTTTTAATGAAACTGGTATAATAAAGAAGGATACCCATAATACGAACCTGTACAGACAGGATAGGGCAAAGTCAGCAGAACTTTCCAAATAAAAAGGTTTGGGCAGTCTTGTGATCATTCCCAAGCTTGTCTGTGTTATGAGCTGTTGTAAAGGCATCTCAAGTTTTATTATGCCTAACCTGCAGAAGGCCTCTTCCTGGCAATGACTCTTGGTGCCAGATCCACCAGGAAGCATAGTCTTTTCAGAACTATTTAGAATTCACAAGACTTAGTTTTGTTTATTGAAAGTACAGCCTCATTCTCAGCTGCTTTAAATTTGCCATTTGCTGCAGAATTTCTTAAAAGGGTGGAGCCAAGAGAGCAAAAACTCAGACTCATGAGGTATTTGTAGGAGTCTTTGATCTCAAAATCCTTCTGCTCCAAACACAGTGGTAACATAGCAATGACAATGTTTTGTTCTTTAGGAGACCGGTGAATACTGGGTGTGATTAGGGCTGTTGCCCATCTGTGTGGTGTAATATTATGGGCTTAACACCAAGCACAGTAAAGTCTCATCATCACCATCAGTGGATTTTGGATTAGGCTATGTATGTGCAGGCAGCTCATTCTGAACAGAGAAAAGGCAGCACAGTTTTGTAACAGCAGGATGAAATCAAGGGTAACTTTAACAGGATATGGATCTGCAAAGGGAACTGTACTGAGCATGAAACCACAGGAAGCTTATTCAAATTCTATCATATGTTGGTAATGAGAAAATTCTAGTCTGATGCTAATATGCAAATATAGTCGTTGGCGTGGAGTTAATACCTTGAAAAATATTCAATATGTTTTAAAATAATTTTTGTTCTGTGTTTGCTGTCCTCAAATATTTTTGCAAACAGGTTTACTTGTAGAAGTGTTAATCTCTTAACCAGATATTGGAGAACATGTGCTAAAAATGTATGTGTAGATGATGATGATGATGATAATGATAATAATAATAATAATAATAATACGCCCAGCGCGGGCGCCGCCCGCGGCCGCCGCGTTGCCGGGATACGGGGCCGAGGCGAGGCGGTGGCAACCCCGAGCGGCGTCCCTCAGCCGGTGACCCCTGCTAATAATAATACATATGTTTGCTCTAGAAACGAAGCCATGTAAGTTGTGCTAAGTCTGACCAAAGAACAGAAGCAGTGATGGGTGAATACCTCTAGTGGCAGCAGTCAAAACTAGCTTTAATTTTGTCATATACTTGCACCAAGATTTTTACTAGATGGTTGATTATCATCAAAAATTGTCGTTACCAGACAGTTTAGATACATTGGAAGAAACAGCAGTTTGTTTCTTACCACGCAGAGCCACTGCGTGGGAAACCACCGGTCCCTAAGGCGTACTTGGTCAGCACCGGAGAGTGAAACATGCCGGCACACTGGTGCAGAACACACTGCGGCGGCTCGCTCCAGGCCCGCTCGTGTCCGTGCCGCCGCCGCAGCGGGCTGGCACGGCCGGGCCCGCGGGGCCCCGGCAGGCGGGGGGCGGCCTGCAGTGTCCCCCTGCCCAGCCCGGAACGCGCCTGACCGCCGGCCCCCTCCGCAGCGCGGCAAGGTGCAGCGGTTTCGGCTAGAACGTCAAGTGATGGGAAGCAGACCGAGGAACGCATCCACAACTCCCTCATCCCCCCTGCTGGAACCTTGCAGAAAGAAAAATAAATGAATTTCGAATCCCATTGTGCCTAGTCAGTACCTGAAACGCCCGGGAGAACAAGCAGGGACCGAGAGGCAGGCGCTGGTCCGTGGGCGCAGCAGGCCGCTGCCCGCTCCGCTGGCCCGCAAACAAACAGCCATGGCATCGGCAGAGGGTGAGCCAAGTGTCGCCGGGCTGCAGAGAAGCTGTGCCGCTAAAAATCCATGAACCACTTTGGTTTTAAACTGATACATGGCAGGAAATGAGATGCTGAGTTTGGCAGAAAAGGACCCTGGAAAATGTGATTATGCCTCTCTTTTGATGGGGCTGTTATAAATATTCATAATATTGCAATTTTGCTAAAGCGGTTGTTTTGGCATGTGGTTTGGAATAGAAAACTTAACTTCCAGGCGGTTCTCTGCATGGACAAAACTGGACTCAGGTTCCTGCTCTGCTGCAGAATGTGCTTTTGTTACCGAAGAAAACACTACACTGCAAAGTTTTCAGAAGGTTCACAATGTGGTTGGAGTATTAATTAAAGAGAAATGCCTAGGTAATTGATGGTGGATTTCAGTGAATGAGCCAAAGGAAATGAAACACGGGGTTTCACCATCAATGGCAAAATATTGCCATGGCAATGGGTGGCTTTGCCAGGACTAAACAAACAAACAACAACAGTCCTCTTTCATGAAAAAAGAGTTAGAGAATTTTCTGTTCTCACCTCACCATGTCTGTGCCATTGGACGTCTTGGAGGGGAGAAGATGGTGTAGCCTACTTATGCAAGTCCTACAAATCCAGCTTCCCTCTCAGTAGGTACAATTAGATCAATTCCAGAGCAAGAAGTCACCTTTATACTGGGGGATGGGAAGGCATCAACATTTGCTTAATAATGATTTCAGTGCCTTGGCTACTGTAATTCATTTCCATTTTCTTACGGAACGTGGATGGGCTCAGAAATAACCCAGGTTTCTGCCACTCTTAGCTGGTGCTGCTTCAGGGAGGGACTGCTGACAAGGAAGGTTTTCTTAAGAGCAAAAACATGGGCCCCCCCTTAAATTAATAAAGGCCTTTACAAAAACATAATGGAGAGAGCAAGGCAGCTAAGAAAGCACGAGCTGCCCTTTCTTCCACGGGCTCAGATGTCTGGCAGGAAGTGTGCCCATGCGCAGGCAGTGCTGTCCTCTCCCAGCATGGCCTTTGAAGGTGGCCATCTGCCCCTGAAAGCTTTCTGGACATTTCTGGCTGCATCCAGCTCCTCAGAGCTCTGAGTGTCTCCCTTCATCCCTGGGAGATGGACCTCAGCCACCCCCAGTCAAGGATTCAGCAGTGCAGGAGTCCTGCCTTGTATCCATACACTGAATTTCTTGCAGTTTTGCAGGCTGTTGTTCTGCCCATAGCCTATCAAATCCCAGGTGGACACCTGGATATGCACTAAGGCCTTGCTGGGATTGTTCCTGAGGAAGACAGACATGGCCTGATGTTGATCTTGTGATTTTGTGGCTTGTAGAGCAGGAGCAATGGGCTAGAGCCAGGTGGCCATGTGAAATCAAAGGAGGGGTAACCAGAAGTCAAAAGAGTCAAAAGAGATCTCTCTCTCATCAGGAGATCAGGTGTCCCCTGGAGAGGAGACAGCATCCATGTGAAGGAGCTAATAGTGAGCCTGACTGTATTAAATGTTTGTACTACTGGGTTGACCCCAGTAGTGCTTGTGAGCTGTCTGATATAAACTGTCAAGACCTGCTAAAGTTTGCAAAACTCATCTAATAGCAATACTATATTGAACAAAAAATCATCCTGTGTGGCTTCTCAGCCATTTGGCATTTGTTAGCTTTGTCTTACCATTCTTAATAAAGTAATACTTCGGTGCTGCTTAAGTTTCCTATAAAATATTTAATGTATTTTACTGTAAAGTCTTCAGGCTGAGGACTGTATCTGCCAGAGCACTCATACCACACCTAGCACTCATTTCGATTGCAGCCTCCAGGCAGTATTGTAAAGGTTCATTATTACCACCAAGATCTGTCCTTATCCTGTCACTCTTCACAGAAGGTCCATTCTTAACTATGGGTTTAACACAGCTGGTATTTAAATGACAATTTTCTTTTTTTCCATCTAAAAGAATCAAGCCAGTTCCAAGAAAATACGTTTTTTAACTTGAAGTTTAAATTAATGTTGTTAATATAGAACTGTGCTTGATCCACCTATGCCTTCATTTAACCAGCTCAGAAAACATGCAACAAATAAGAAGCATTCTTTTTCTGAGGAAAAAAAAAAAAAAAAAAGAAAAGAAAAGAAAAAAGGAAAAAAAAAACTATATTTGGGGTCTATTTTGCATGAGAAAATATTTTGTTTAGGAGTGACAGTCAAAGGCATTCTCTCATACATTGTAATATTTTCCATGTGTGGCAGCTTGTTTTTCAGTGGTACAAATATGTGCAATAAAGGCCGAGGATAAAAATGAATCTAACAGTTTTTGCAGCAGTGCTTTAGATGGTTTCATGCGATTTCATTTTCCTGTGGATACTGTCATTAGTTCTGCTGCTTGCAGTATGTGAAGCATAATTCTGAAAGGTTCATGAGGTTGTAGGGATCCAGTAAGAGATGACTGATTTCTCCCCCACACACATATACTCCACCCCACACCCACTCACCCACCCACCAGCAAAACATAATGCTGTACTATTTTTGGAAACAGGGAAAGGGCCTCCCTGTGAAAACAGAAAGCAGTGTATTTCTCAGTTACATCACTTTGCAATCTAATGCTGTGTTGTGCTCAGTGTTTTTGTGGTGATGCAAGTCTTTTTTTTCTTTCCTTTTTTTTTTTTTTTTTTTTTTTTTTTTTTTTTTTTTTTTTTTTTTCCCTTCAGCCGGTTGGATTTTCCCCATCTTACAGCACCTCGCAGGTCTCTTCTCTGAGCAGTACGTTGCCTGAGTGAGTGGAAACATACAGATCAGCTGCAGGTTTCTATCTACAAAAACAGAGTGAAAGAGAAAGAAAAGGGTTGGGAAAGCAGAGACAAATATTGACCTGGACTTAGAGAAAGACATCCAATGGCTGAATAAAGAACCCTGTTCATGTTTTGGGATATTCTTTCAACTGGCTGGAACGAGAGCGGATCAAAAGAATGGGAAATGCCAGCAGACCCTTTAGAAGAATTGCTTATTTCTTATGCCTTTTATCTGTGCTTTTGCTGACTGAAGGGAAGAAACCAGTGAAGCCAAAATGTCCTGCCTGGTGTACTTGTACCAAAGATAATGCTTTATGTGAAAATGCCAGATCTATTCCTCGCAGCGTTCCGCCTGATGTTATCTCACTGTAAGGGCTGTAAGCATTTGGTTATTTAATTTATGATTTAAAATGAACTAGGATGTGTGGTGTTCTCAGTGCATACAGAAGGATGCTTGCTGCAGGGAGTACCTCCAGCATTCAGAATCATCAGCTAATGTGTTAAAATTGTGCTGCATCCTTGAATCCTGATTTTTATATCTCTTTTATCTGTCTGTCTGTCTGTGTATGTGCACACATCTCAATTTATATGTTCTTATATAGTACATGAAACCTGTCACATTATATTTGGCGGGGGGGGGGGGGGAAGGTAATTTTTTTACTCATATAAATAAATTTCTCTGTGATGACCAGATCAGTATTATAACCATGGATATATGAGGCTGCATTAATGTACGGTTGTTTTTTTCTTCTTTACAGATCCTTTGTGAGATCTGCTTTTACTAAAATCCCAGAAGGGAGTTTTTTGCTCACACCATCTCTGCAGCTTCTGTGAGAAATATTTATATGATAAAATTTTTGTTATGAAGTGTATATGTATTCATAAATATTTCAGAAAGGGTTTTAGTATTAATTTTGTAAGAAACAGCAGCAGAAGATTTATTAGATCATAAAATACATTACTTTTGAGCAATTTGAAAGATAGTGCATGTTTAATTTTTACTTAGTATTTTGCAAGGCTGTCTGTTGTCAGTACTACTTTGAATGCTTACATGCTGAAGCTTTTGGTGACAGAATGCATGTTATCTTAATTATACTTTAATTAACATTACACTAAGGACTTAAGTGTTGCAACAACTATTCTTGTTTATTTTCTGCATTCCTGGGACCTGATTCCTAATATAAAGCTGTCCATTTGCAACTCCCATCCACTGTGAGCTCAGAACCCCACAGATCAGGCCCCTCGTTGCAGTGGGACAGGTCCTGAAGTCCTTTCCATGTAAAATTGCCATTGACTTCTGTGGAAGTTTAGTCACTTCAGTGGGAGTTTTGCCTTCATAGTACCTGGATTTGACCCTGTTTGTTATTTCATGGTCTTAAAAGTAATGACAATTTTCCTCAAATTAAAGACTGAAGTAGTTATTTCAAAATCAAATACTGTGATGAATATTTTGGGATGTTTAACTATTAGCTGCATTTCAACATAGGATTTTTACAGGCTCACAGGCTTTCCTAGAAATGTGGGCATACGATTATATAATTGTGAGCTATACAGAGGTAGAGGGGGTGTAACCTGAACTGTTTATAGTGGATGTGCTGCCAGCCTGACACACACCCAGATTTGTCTCAGAAATCCGGCAAGGCAGACTCCCCAGTGTGATCAAAACCAAAATCGGATGTCTGTCCCAAACCGACTTCCGTGCGCTCTGGATGTGGTCAGAGGTGTAATGCTGAGGTACTGGAGCTGTCTGGCTGTTAAATTAAACGGGTGGCATACCGACAGCTGAAGCCCTGACCCTGGCTGTACTCTGCTACCTCAAGTGGAGCTGATAAGGAGGTGCAGACATACTGTACAATTTTGGATACAGGGTAAATAGGTAGATGCAGTTACTATGGAAACCTAAATGCTTTTCCATGGTGCTTTATTCCAGAGAAGCTTTTTTCAGGTGGTCACAGATCACAAAAGGGACACATTTCACATTATTGCTGCAATGGGCCTTTCAAAGGAGTGGGGGAAAAAAACAGCAGCACTGGTGGGGCTTGTATCTTAAGAGAGCGAGTAGGACATCATCTCTCTTGGCTACGATACACCACCTACGCTTAGCAATCCCACTGCAAAGCAGGCAGATTTGGGCATGGTAGAGTAGGACAGACACAGTCATCTTATTTTGAGTTATTATAGTGCCTGGCACAGTGGGCTTGGGCAACGTCTTATGGCATTTTGGTAATGATAATAATTTCCATTTCTACTGTACAATTAAATGTATGTTCTATGATGCTGTTCATAAATGCTGCAACAAAAACCATGACCCTAGAAAAGCAGGGTTTGTTCCACTGTGGGCTTTGATGAGTGATGTGTTTTCCAGATATATTTTTAACATGGTAGTTGAGCTGCTTGCCATCCTTGGAATGTCAGGCTGCTGATCTAAGGCAAATGACTGCTTAAACACAGACCATAGGAGCAGGATTGTGTCTGTGGGCACAACACTCCAGTTTTTATGTGGGAAAGAAAAATTTTATTTTTGGCAGAAGATAGTAAGGGAAATAAGAATATGGAAAATTTACGTTAATTAAACATTTCAGGGAGTTTTAGCTTTGCATGATTATAGCTGTATTGGTAGGTTTAATTTAGCCAACAGCAAGATTTAGCAGCTTATATGTATTCCTATAATAACAGAAATACATATAGAAATAGTCTCCAGCATCATGTTTTTGAAGTCCAAATGTAATTGGATATCTCCAATACAGCAGTCACAGATGTCTAAATATGGTGTAATTCTGCCGCTATTATTATTTACTACTATTTTTAATGTAGTAGCACCAATGGTCTCTGGAAAAATCGTGGTCTTGTGCTAAACACTACTCATAACTCCCAGTCCAGGAGAGCTTTTCTTCTTGTGTAGTATGGATGGTATGCTCTTTGCTCTTCATGTGACAACAAAAATACAAAGAACCTACAGAGCTATGGTGAAGTGCCAGCAGGAGTGTTCCCTAAAGGTAGAGAAAACCTCCCAGCTCTCATCTTCAGCGCTTTTATCTCTGTGTATCAGCAACATGCTGAGGGTGCCCTTATAAACTGATGACATGAAAGCCTGCAGAAAGAAGGGAGGTAATCATGGCATCAGGGTTTGTACCTGCTAGCACTGTACTGTTCCTGCCAAGTGATACAGTCCCTAGCTACAGCACCATACCTGCAGCCTCTATCCCCAGAAGCAGCAATTATGGTGATTGAGGACAAACTGGGGGGAAAAATACTTTGTGCATCGAATACATCTGATGTAGCCATTGGGGAGAGGTATGAGTTAGAAGGCAAATGAGATCACCAAGTGCAAGACCTATGCTGTAAGCCTGGCAATCTCTAAAATAGCAATATTATTTAAAGAGATACCACCCTGTTCTCTAAATTATAGAGTGCAGAAAAGGAAAAAATTATCCAGTAAAATCATATCAGAAAAGTAAAATTAGTTGCAAAATTTAATAAATTGGTCTTCTGGTTCAAGAATTCTATAAAAATACTCGTTTTCTCTAAAACTGAAATATTTCTTGATTTTGACAAAAAGGAAGAATTTCCTGCTTGTATTTTTTCATACATTTCATATAGGAATATACTGAAAGTGGAAAAAGCACAATCTGCAACAGCCAACTGAGAAAATAAATTACTTGCAATTTATTCTGAATGTAAATGTCAACATAAGAGATTAACTCTTTAAGTGGATTAATTAGTACTTGGAAGTCTTGCATTCCTGAATGTCTAAGGATGCCATAGTATGAATCTATTTATCCATCATGTCAATTGATCAAAATATAGATGTGCATGTAGTATTCCACTGGGGTAAAGTTCATTGTACTTTATGATGTCCCACCACATTAAAAGTGTAGCAGTCCAGAGCTAGATTATAATGGACAAATGCTAACATGGCTGATAAGCATAAATAAAGCTGGAAAAATCAATGCTAGTCCACTTTAAATGCTTACAAAATTACATAAAATTAAATGTGCTGCTGGTATTTTTACTGTTAGATGCGTACACTAAGAGTATTTCCAAGAGGTGTAATGAGGTCTTAAAAATAATTCTGACTTGAACACTGACTGAATTTAATAGATTTTTCTTTTTTTGTTTCCCCAGTAACTTTCAGTACCTTCGGGTTAAATACACTCAGGAGTTTAACTTAAAAGTTAAAGGATTTTCCTTCCTGCCAGTGTTGCAAATTCAACCTGATGTCAGGCTAAGCAGCAATTTAAACCAAGACAATTTAAACCTCTGTAGTACTTGAAGATATCATTGTTGTCCTAGTATATCTCCAGAGGCACATGTAAAATCCCATTGTTTTACTGGCATGATAAACCCACATTTACATCCCACAGAAGTCAAAGGAATTTTATTGATGGCTCCAGTAGACAATTGTTGGATCCTTCCCTTTGCACCACACTGTGGTGCAATATATCAGCCTTACAGTCCTATAGTGCTTGCACAGAAAAAAACCATGAAACCAGGCAGTGGAAATTTGGCCTTGCTGAACCATTTTCTAAAGCTGCTGATAACCTAATGGTCTTTTGTTTTGCATTTCTTTTTGCAGGTTGTTTACGTCCAACACTTTTGATGTTATTAGTGATGATGCTTTCATGGGCCTTCCTCATCTAGAATATTTGTGAGTGGACAAAAGTATATTTCCTGGCATTATTGAATAGAGTGGGTGGGCTTCCAGTTTCCAGGCATTGCTTGACTAGAATCCCTTTACCACCCGTTGCAGGTTCATAGAGAACAACAACATTAAGTCAATTTCAAGAAATACATTCAGAGGACTGAAATCTTTAATTCACCTGTAAGTAAAGTGATTGAATATATTACTTTGTATATTTAATATAGTAACTGAACCACTGGTTGTTTCATTTCTCATTTTCATATATAACTGTTCCTAGTTATTTAAGTGACATTAATAGTAATTTGATTTGGATGTTATCTTTGTGTTTCCACCGAAGACTTCCAAACTGTGGTATGGGTAGAAGGCAAAGACACACAAACAGTTTCCAAGCACTACATGTTTGGCAGTAGTTCCCTGACTTTCTCTGCTTGGAGCACAGGGGATTTCCAGCTGAGCATGTAGGAGCAGGGAGGAGTATGAATTGGGAATCTTGGCACTGGATGAGGTGAGTCCCAGTTTGGGACTTGGAAAGGAGGAAGGTGGCAGCTGTGATGAGGAATGTGAGAGGCTGAGGAATGAACCCACACCTCTTCCCAGGTGCCCCAGTCGGACATGGATCCAGGAGAATATTACAGCCATTCTTGGGACAGGCAATCACTGTCTGTGCCTGTGTCCACTTAAGATAGTAATAGTATACAGAAGAATTTGGTTAAATCAAACTTGAAAATTCCCACCCAGAGCAATTTTAAATAGAAGAGTTGCAGCAAGATGTTTTTGTTACGGCTTACTGATCTACTTCTTCCATTCTGCACCTGCCCTACTCTGCACCCTGTCCTCTCCTGCATGGGAGCAGGAGCATCCCACAGTCAGGACCTGTCACACAATGCACTGGCATCTCCTTATTGTTCCTTGTGTGCTGCTCAGCCCTTTGGCTGTCCTTGCCCTCTGACCTGCTGCAGCCCCTTGCTGCATCAGCTGGGAGGGGAAATTGCTCCGAGGCACTCTGGATGCCGGTGAGCTGCAGGAGCAACGCTCCCCATGCCCTCACCAGCGGGAGCATTTCTCACACTCCGCTCAGTAGGTGAGACACACTGGCAACAAATACCTGCAACATTGCACTGCAAACAAGAGTAGCTTCCTTGTTTCTGAGCTAGGAAGATAGTTTTTATACAGGCTTTTGTCTCTTATCTTACAGCAAGTTTATCTTTTAGCAATAATTTAATTTAATGAGGAGTAAATTTTTGAAAAACAAAATACACACTATAAGAAAACAGAAAAAAAATGCAAAAGAAGAAAAGGAAAAAAAATCTGTAGTGTGCCTGACATAGGTTTATACCCATTTCTGAGCATCTGCATTCTGAAGCATGTCATGTGGTGTGTGTCATAGGCAGGGGAGGGGATCCTGACCTTTTGGCCTTAACATGATAGCCTCAAAGAGGGTTTTGAAACAGGGCCATTTAACTTTTTCTTTCATATATTTTGACAGAGGAGAGAAAGCAAAGGTTCCATTTTAAACAGTTAATGCATAAATATAATAGTTAAATTGCAATTCACCATATCTTCACCACCTAGTAAATGTACCATAAAATACTTTATGCTTTCCCTTTTGGTCAGGACAAGATTTACAGCTGGCTGGAACCAAGCTTACTGTGACTACTCATGTAGATAAAGTTACTTATGGAATGGCTCTAGGTCTGAGGAAGAGGAACGAGAGAGGAGGGGGAAAGAGGTACATAAAAGGGCTGTGCACATCCCATAACAATCCGTATTAGAGGTACAGGCAGAATTATGCTGTTGTTAGAAAAAAAATATAGCTGGATAAGGCTGGTAACTGGGACCCAATCAAAATATTTATGCACATGAATACCTTTATATTCACAAATGGGTCCAGTGCATTATTTATCATATTCATTTACTTATTTAGTAGCTGCTGCTGCCAGTGAACAAATTTCTTTTCTAAAACAGAGAAAGGCACAGTTTCTGCTCCACAGGAAGGCTACCATCTTCTCTTGCCTGTTACATTGGTTTCTGGGGGTGCTTCAGGAGTTTCACAAGAGAAAACATATGCAAAAGACAGATCCACATTTTAGGAGCAACTGCCATTTGCATGCACATTTTTGGGACATAGATTTGTGCATTATGCTGCACCATTGTCTGTGGAGCACTATTCACAAAGACAATGAGAAATTTGTGGAAAATAACTGCAAAGGCACCACTAGTTTAATCTGCTTGAAGAACCACTCCCCATCTTTTGGGGAAAATTGCATATACACATTAAGAATGATCATTTGGCACCCTCAGGCACTTTTCATTTAAGAAACAAGAGAGTACTTGTGTACATAAAGTATTTAAATATTTAAAGTAATCATAGTAAATGAGCATGCAAATAAGTTCTATGAAGTTAGATAAGATGAACTTTGTTCTATTTATTCTATTTACTTCCTTTTTGAAACATAAATTTTGGAATGCAGTAAGCTATCCAAACATTTTTACTTTTATAATGCAATTAACTTCAATAATTACAGTGTGTCCTTATTGTAAAAGAGAGCCATCTAGAATTTATTATTGTGCAACAGGATTTATTTGCTGGTAAAGGTACATTTAAAAACAGAAAAATTTTTAAAAGATTGCAATTTTTTTTACTAATTTACTAATTTAATGTCAGAATCTTACAGTTAGCATTGGATGGTAATTTCTATGCACAATACATAATTTTGATTGCATTTCTCTCAGAACTGTCACCGTTAGTTTACCTGCATGTTTGAGCCAACCTTTACTCTCTTATTATAATCCAAAAATCACATACAGCACCATCTAGGCAAGACAGTGTTTTCTGATATGTAAGTATGCTTTTTAACAGTGGACAATAAAATGCATAATTTTCATTCAAAAATTGGCAAATGGATAAACCTTGCTTAAATTTCTCTGTCAGTCATGTACCCATGGCAGCAGCAAACCACTCCTACTTCCAAGTACACCCTCCCTTTTGGTTTGCTATATAATAACATATAAAAACAATATAGGGCATTAAACTTGTCTCAGCTTGCAAGTCCACACAGCTTTCTCCGTGTGAGTTACCTGACTTTTAAAGGATTGCTCTGGAGCATAAAATTGCACATAAGTGGAGCACATGATACATTCACATACAGTGTTACAATCAGATGTACTTTGAAAATGGTGAAATCAGAATGGACTAATGGAAGCATCCCATATTTACTATTACTGATCAGACAAACAATTATTTTTAAATGAGGCAGCAGACCTAGTACATGTGGTCTTGTTCTTGTATTTAAGTATGTGCCTAAGTGTCTTTGTTTGGCTAGAGAAATTGTGGTTGATAAATAACATTTATGTTTACAAGTCAAAACAGAAGAGGTTCTAAGTCTTACTAGCTACAGATTCTAACTGTGATCTTAATCAAGAATGATTTCTCTCAATTTTTATTTCTTCTCATAAGTAATAAATAATTCTGTTAATTGGAAGAGGCATAGACTATACCCTACAACATTATTCTTTTTCTGTCATGCCCTCCGTGACACCTGAGACCTTTGGCAAACTCACAGAGACAGGCAGACTGAAATGTAATATACTGCTTGTTCAAAGCCTGCTCACATTTCTTTGTCACTTTTACTAGCTGGAATACTCACTGAATTTAAACAAGTTTTCCCAACATTGAAAACTGGAATTAATAACATTTTTTTGCTGGTCTAATACACACTTACACACACACACATGCACATGCCAGGAAAGCAGTTCATGCCCATCAGCAATTTATTGCCTATTACTGCATATTTTCAAAAACTATGAGCTAAACCTAAGCCCATGAGCCCACATTAGTAAGATTTTCCTTCCAGAAGAGGTACAAGAAAGAGGAGAAATTGCAGTGATATGAGCACCATGTATTGGGATCTCACAGAGAAAACATCAGTAGATCCAATCGTGACTAATTATTTTAAAATGTTAAATGGTGTTGGCAAAACACCAAAGGTGATAGCACTTTTTACTCTGCTACATGAAGTATTGTAAATGCTGCAAAGCTGCTGAAGAGTGAGAAAGCAGAAGGAGGCATGGCATTTTAGTGGAAGGAAAACTCACAAAGTAAATGAGCTTAACAGCAATCTTTTAGAACTAAATGCTGGAGAATACCAGTGTTCTTTGCCATAAGTAAAAACCCCATACAGTATATCACAATTTGCAAAAATGTGTAGTTTCACGAACAACTGGCACTAATACTGAAGTGTTTTCTTTTTCAGGAGTCTTGCAAATAATAATCTCCAGTCACTTCCAAAAGATATATTTAAAGGCTTGGATTCTTTAACAAATGTGTAAGAAAACAATTTATTAATATTTTAATTATAATAGAAGTATAAAGAGATTATTTTAGAGCACATTCTGAGTAACCATTCAAACCAGCAGCCAGTAATGGGTCTTGTTACTGGGTAGAGACTACGCAGTATGAGTAGGCTTGGGTTTTTTGTCTGCTGTTGTTGAGAATTTGTGATGGTTTTGAATATTCCACCAGTTATGAAGATAAGTAATATTGTTAGTAGTTATGTAATAAAGCTGCATGTACATTAAGATTTTGTGAATAAGAAGGGAGGATCCTTAGGGATGCATGAGAGAGCAAGGCATGCAGGGAAGGTGGAAGATATTTAATGGAGTAACATTTTAATGTGCAAGCAATTCCTGGGAAAGCTAACTTTTATCAATAAAGCATGTGTCTAAATATCCCATACTAAATTGCAACCAGATCAAAACATAAGCTTGTTTAAATATTTATATATAAATACTAGTAAAAATACAAAATACAGATAAACAGATAACTCTTACAATTGCTTTAGTGAAATAGATCCTGTTTACAATATACCAAATCGTGTTCCATCTGATCTGGGATAATAAGCTCAGAAAATCCTTTGCCTGCTCCCAGTATGAGCAGGGCAGGCTGAACCCCCAGAGCAGAGCTGCAGTAGTGAGATGTGGCCATGGGCAGCATATCTGGAGCATTACTTGGCAAGGCTGAGCGTGGCCAGGTGGTTACACAGTCTGGTCCTGGCGCTCGCCTGTTCCTGTACATACGATCACAAATCTGACTGAAGACAGCTGTAAAAGCCTTCAACAGAACTCCTCTGCTTGTCTCTCCTGAAGCCCTAAATGAGTGTATCTAAAGGAGACAGTGAATACTGCCTGGCTGACCATCAGGTTACATGAATTCCTATTTTGTTATCTAGAATGCCTCTACTGAGAAAGGGTAGCACAAAGGAAACAGGGTTCATTAGTTTGGGAGGATTTTGCATACCTGTAAACTTGGGGAAATTGATAAAAATTTCTGATTGAGCACCAAGTTGAGGTCTTCTTCGTTACCTTAATATAATTACATCTGTGTGGGTTCTGGTATGTAGATTTAACTATGGGTCAGATAAATTAAGCCAGGAAGGCCTCAAGTAAGAATAAGCAAGAGGGCACATATTTAACAAAAGCCTGTTTTGTTGTTCTCAAGGAGAAATACATTAGCTTGCTGCTTATTTTCAACGCATGATTTATTTGTTGTAGAGATCTTAGAGGCAATGCATTTAATTGTGACTGCAAACTGAAGTGGTTAGTGGAGTGGCTGGGCAGCACCAATGCAACAGTTGAAGACATTTACTGTGAAAGCCCACCAGAATACAAGAAGCGCAAGATCAATAGTCTCTCTCCAAAAGAGTTTGATTGCATTATTACAGGTAATGTGCCTCAAATTATTTCATCTTGTTAAAGTCAAAGCTGTAGTTTTTCATTCTAGAGCCCATTTTTGCAGGAACACTGCATTCTGGATGGAATTTCTACTAAAATCAATATGCTCTGCTGGTCTAAGTCTGACACAGGAATCATTTGGGAGCAGGGTCCTATATTTCAGTATCTACTCAAACTTTAGTATGTTACATAATGATCTGGAAAACTGGGACATAACACAGTACCTCTTTTTATTGAGAAAGATTGAAAACCAAATTGCAGTGCTCCTTTATCAACAGAAAAATTTGATAGTGATGAAATACTGTAATTTGTAATAAATTGGTATCTGATAAGCAGGTGTTTTTTTCAGCACAGTATGTAAAATATCTCTGTAATTATCATCTGTTGTGTGCAATTTGCAGAATTTGAAGTTTATCAGTCCCTGCCATACCAATCTCTGTCAGTAGATACTTTCTCATATATGAATGATGAACACGTGGTCATTGCTCAGCCTTTTACTGGAAAATGCATCTTTCTTGAATGGGACCATGTGGAAGTGATGTTCAGGAATTACGACAACATTACAGGTATGAACACTGCTTGACAAATAACATTTCAACAAATTATCCAAAAAGTGTTACTAACCCTGTCTCTTACTTTTCTTTTTATAGGTACTTCAACTGTTGTGTGTAAACCTATAGTTATTGAGAGTCAGCTGTATGTCATTGTCGCACAGCTGTTTGGAGGCTCCCACATATATAAAAGAGATATTTTTGCTAATAAGTTTATAAAAATTCAAGATATTGAAATCCTTAAAATCCGAAAACCCAATGACATTGAAACTTTCAGGATTGCTGAAGACTGGTATTTTGTTGTTGCAGACAGTTCAAAGGCTGGTTTCACCACGGTTTACAAGTGGAATGGGAATGGATTTTATTCCCATCAGTCTCTGCACGCCTGGTACAGAGATACTGATGTGGAGTATCTTGAAATATCTGGCAAACCACATTTAATTCTGTCAAGTAGTTCGCAAAGACCTGTAATATATCAATGGAACAAAGGAACAAATGAATTTGTTAAGCGGTTTGATATTCAAGATATGGAAGATGCATATGCAGTGAAGCATTTCAAGGTGAAAGAGGATGTATACATTTGCTTAACAAGATTTATTGGGGACTCTAAAGTAATGAAATGGGGTGGTTCAGCATTTCTGGATTTACAAAGGATGCCATCCCGAGGGTCCATGGTATTCCAACCACTTCAGATAAATAATTATCAATATGCCATTCTTGGAAGTGATTATTCTTTCACTCAAGTCTATTATTGGGATGCGGAAAAGGCAAAATTTGTGAAGTTTCAAGAATTAAACGTGCAGGCACCAAGATCTTTCATACATGTCTCCATCGATAAACGAGATTTTCTCTTTGCTTCAAGTTTTAAGGGAACTACATTGATTTATAAACATGTCATAGTTGACTTAAGCGCATGACACTCATAATTCTGAGATTACATCAGACTTTCTACTGTAAGCGGACAAAATGAACTAAATGCATGATGACTCTCTTATCTTACTTCCAAATGAATGCCTTTAAAAGTTGAGATTGCTAGAACAAAGTATTACTAGTATCTTCATCTTTAATTGTCAAGTCTAGTGGTGTTGGAAGTTGCATTTTTTAACAAAAAGAAATTAAATTAACTGTTCTTTGCATCCACAATATGTAAATACATGTGCAACTGCATCTGTTGCTATAAAGAATATTAAGATGTACTTTTCCATTTATTTATTCACCTGTTTGAAACAACTGCCAAATAAAATGTTTACATTTTGTGTCTTTCACATTCCAAATATTATTTTCAGGTGATACTTTTTATTTGTGTATATATTATACACATATAAAATAAAGCCAAGAAGGCATATTGCCCAGTGCAGTGTTGTACTGCATAGAAGATGCACGAAAGATCAGGTGGGTTTTACTAATAACAAGAAGTTCTTGATAAAAATACTGCATTGAAACACAAGCCTATAAATTATCACCTGGACAATCCTTGCACTTATGTAAAACTTCACTGACTGAAACAGAACTCTAACCAGAAAAAAGAATTCAGTTATCTAGATGTGCTTGTAGGATGAAGGGTTCAGTTATACACATCTAATTGCAGGATAGGCCTTTGTACTGTGTATAGCTGTTTCTAAAAATCTACAAAGAGCTTGGCAGAAAAAAAGACAAGGTAAAGGTGTGTGTTTCTTCACCTGATGCTGAAGCACCACAAAACAAAACTCTTGTACAGCACTGGGGCTGTTACTGTGCTGAAAGCTAGAAGCAAAGCTTATTTTTCAGCTGGCATTATTTCTATAGCTGAACTGTCACACATCACTTGCATGAATTCTGTGTCCTTGTCAAGTCTTTCCACTGTTATTGCAATTATTTAGTCTACAATGAATTTATTCCTTATTCAGAATTAAGCTAGTGAATGGGAAGTTATTTTTTTCCACTACCCTGCAATGAATCTTAGTACCAGGTACTTCTGAAATTCAGGGAACTTTCAATGTGTAAAGTCAGTTTGTATAGTGTATGCGACTCCAGGGAAGCTAACTACATCTGTTAAATTGTGCCAAATCTGAATGTGGCATGAAAATCTATCACAAGCTCAAAGTTAAAATAGTCTTTTGTTTGCATTCATCTAGTGCACCACTTGAGAGAAACCTACACTGATGCTGAAGATGATTTGGTGCAGCTCAGGAGGAAAGCTCAAGTTTATTTTAGACACCTTTGCATTCACTTGAGTTGCCAAGCATTGTGCTTCAGTGCCATCTTTAAAATAGAGACATGAATGCTGCGTTCATTTCTAGACATTTCTACCATTCACAGATGTTGACTGGTGAATAAAACTAATCATACTGTGCATGTCAGCTAATGACGTGAGCTGATTAATGTATATTTAGGAAGCCAGTCCTAAACAGTATGCTTCTGTAATAAAGAATGGAGGTTTTTTTTTAATATTTAATGTTATTTAAAAAGAAAAATTCTCACCTGAACAATACTACTCTAATAAGTTAATTTTTCTGATGCCTTTTTATCCATAGCTGCATATGCTCTGCTAAGCATTTGGCTTAATAACTACCTATTCCATAAGTATTTACAATGTGAGTAGAAAGATTTTAAACTATGTTTCACAGCTGAAACATCCCAATTTTTTTCTTAAATACATTTCCAAAAATAATCCTAATAAATACTCTCTTGTTTGGCAGTTTCCTTTATATGTCAAACCATATTTCCTTTATATAGTTTTAGCTGTTACGTCAGCATGATTTCAAACCCCAGATGAACCCAAATAATAGTTTTTATTATTTCTCAACATTGGCTGCATATCTGTGATTGCCAACTCAGTTTGTCCATTTCTTCTTCAGTGTCCTTTGCATGGGAAAGGAATGAAATACAAAGTCATGAACTCATCTCCAATCTACCAGCAAACCATTAAGTGTTTTCTATTCTTCTTGTCTTCTGTTTCAGTCTTTTACTTAAGGTCCTATTGGATTATGTGCACTGGTTTTTATCTGATTTTTCCCATTAAACTTGCCTACATGCACTCTCTATCAAATTATAAAGATAATGGCTATGCATCCTTCTCATTATGAACATATTATAAACATCTGGCTGAATTTAAGTGGAGTTGGAGAAACTTGCTAATCTGCTACCAACATTTATTTACAAACAACATATTGCCTCACAGTGTACCTTGAAAAAGTTTCATTTCATGGAAATGTATTCCAGAGCCAGCCAGCTATGCTGGCGAAGGCCTGTGCTATCATAGTGCTGTAATTGCTCTCCTGAGTTACCTCATTCTGAAATGATGTGACAGACTTACAGGAATTCACTGTTACTCCTGGGTTTAAAGGAGGAATTTCAATGCCTGCAAGGGTGTGAGTCACTAGAATTTTACATTCACAATACATATAAAATACATACGAAACTAGCCATGGTACAGTGGAGGGTAGCAAGGGATCAATCTGCTGGAGAACACAAAGGCAGTATCAGTTTGGTTGTTCCTTCAGAAAAATTTTTCCTGCAGTCAAGAACTAGTGATTTGGGAAGTTCTTAATGCCTATGTCATTTTTGGAAGGTCAGCTAATTACTATAAAATGCTGAATCTAAACCTGTTTTCTTTTGAAAATCCCTTTCTCTAGTCCATTATGTCAGGTGGAGACTCACAGGGACAATAGCTAGTTTCTTATTGTGTGACTATAGCATTTCTTTGTACCACATAAGGAACTGGGGTATTTTTAGAACAGAACTCATAATCCTTAACGTGGAAGAGCGTAAAGGCTCATTAGGTGGCTCCCTGTGCTGTTTCTTCCTGATTTCAGAGACTGGGCATCTTAACAGCTCATCTGAGCATAGAGCTAAGGCCTATTCCATCCTGGTTCTCTGCTCAGTACTCCTTCTGATATCAGTGGAAAAGTCAGAAAAAAAGTAGAACAGAACCTTTTATCATATATACATTGATACTTTTTTAAAATGCTGTTTAAAAAAAATCTGTATTTTTCATCAAAGTCTATGTTACTTGTGGCTGACTGGTTGTCTTCTGTAATTGCAATGGATTTTCTAAACCCTCTAATTGTTTTGTTTATGACTGACAGAGTATGGAAGGTACTAAATGTATTACAGAAGACAGTATTGAAGGTTAATAATGGCTACTGCTGATCCTTGATGCTGCTTAGTCGTGTTAATGTCCAAGACAGCGAAAAAGAACATTAATGGAATAGTATTGTATTCCTACTACTACTACTTAATTAGATTTTTAATAGAGCACAATATAAAAGAATATGCACCTCTCTACTTGGGAAGAGATATATAAAATACATTCAGAATACCTGATACTATACCATGTGTAACTTTTTTTGTCTATTGCAATGCCTAGGACTTGCAGGTATTTTTGTTTTTACTTTATTTGAAAAATTATTCCAAAATGCACTCTTCCTACTAAGAAGGAAATTCAGTAAGGAAATATCTTGTTGTGTAAGGTGGCAAAATAAACAGAAATGTATTATTGGTTTGTATTTCATTTTAATTATAACTTCTCCTAAATATTTTAATTTTTAAACTTTATTTGAAGGGGTTGTAACAGCCACTCAAAGTATGCTTGAGGATGGGAAACAATTATTAGCATAGTTAATGATGTGTGATATGCTTTGATATGTTCTAGTGGGAAGCTCACTAACAGCTGTATTTATGTATATAACCATTAAAACATATTGTGTTAGCATTCAATGGAAAATAAAGAATATTTAAACTACAGAAGTAACAAAAACTCTTCAGACTGACAATAGCACCAAGAGAAAGCAGAGAAGTCAGCAGAGAAGTCAGCCCAAAATGTTACAGCTAGGAACAGAATGTAAGCCCACAGCAAGTCTCAAGAGAGTGGAAGTTTCCCCTTTCAAGGAAGTATTTTCCTTTCCACGAAACACATGTGTTTCCCCTCAGTGGGGAACCCTGAAAATCCAGATAATCACCCAGTTCTTGCAAAATACAGTAAGAGGCTTACAAACTTAATGCACTACTTCCATGAGTCCAATATGTGGAATTTTTTTTCCCTTTGACACCTCTCTGCTGCATCAGTCTCAGCCGTGGCGGCACAGAGGGAGTGGTGAGCATGCTACTGCCCACTGAAAGGGCCAGGGCCCTGCCAGGGCCAGACAGAAATTAAGCCGGGTTCAGCATAGAAAATGCAAACCCAAGCACTCAATTCACTCAGCTGTTAATGCCTCCCCCACTGCCCAGCAGGTTTTCTCTCTGATTTGTTATACATATTGCCAACAGTTCCCACTACCTTTCGTACGCCTGCAAGCCTTCCCCTCTCATTCCTGCTGATCTGGAGACCTAAGTGTGGTAGTAAAGCTGTGATTTAGACTCCTATTGATTAGAAAGGCTGAATGTGTTTTTGTGGCTCGGAACTCACCGATAAATGTCGAGGTCTTGGGGAGTTCAACTCCTCCAGACCGATCTGCGGTACACTGCCTGACTTACTGCTAATGGCAACTTCTCTTCCTTACTGATGACTCTGAATTCTAATGGCTGGTGTTACAGGCATGTCTCTGTTTATAGTTCACTTAAACAAAGTGCTCAGAGGCAAACCTAACCCTATTTCTATTCAGGAATTTTCCTGAAATGAACTGGAACTACAAAGAGCTCCAGTGTGCTATACAGAAGTGGTGTTGTATTTGTGCTTTGAGACTTTGAATCGCTCCAATTAGTTATGGTAGTGTAATACTTCTGTCTTCAAATTTGTTACTGTAGAAAGCAATTTGCCCCTAAATATGCATATTTATATTCATATAATTGTTTATTTATACTCCAAATAAACGGAAATGGATGATAGCAATAATTATGTTACTGTTCCCGATCTCCCATTCATCAAATCAATTTCTGAATTCTCAAAAGTTGTTTTCAACTCAGCCTTACTTTATTCTTCCTACTGAATTATTTTAATTGAAAAAGGACTTTCTGACCCATTCTCCCTTCCTGTTCGAAGGCCTGGATAGTGACACCAGTATGTTAGCAAGTTGTCAACCTGCCCAGATGGTGAGCATCCAAAAATGCTGAAAGAGCTTCAGAATAAACAGGCTGATCTGCTAAGAATACATAGTCCTTCATTAAAAACCATTTATGTGTAAAAGAAGTAACAAATATTATACCTATTTTTCTAGAAAGTTAATGGGATGAATAACCAGTGGGATTTCAGACCAGTAAGATCCACATTTATCTAAAATTATAAATGAAAATGGAAGCATAAAATTTCAGTAGAAATTAGGTAACTAAGCAAGTGGGACAGGATGACTAGTGAAGT